CCCTCATGCACTCCGTTCTTGAACGGGGAGGCGGACTTCGCGATGGTCGATCCGGCAAGGGAACCTGTGATAGCAGGGCACCCTTGTCCGGGGGTCACCGGTAGGTGGCAATCTCTTTAGATATTACTATAGTCACAGGTAACCTGGGTGCAGAGCCCGACGCCCGTCCAAGAGGGGGGGCGGGGTCGTTTCAGCAGCAGGAGCCCTGTGTTATAGGTAGGATTAGATGTAATCAAGAAGATGACAACTAGCATTAGAATAAAACATAGAGATAAGGGACACTCTATTGGAAGGGGAAAAGTGGCAGAAATCACTTACAACAAACTGCAAGTCCCACTAACTAGAATATTCAGCACCAATGAAGGTTTTAAAGTAATCTGCAAAGATGACTTTGATTCAGATAAAATCCTTTCAAAAGAAGCAAGAGATATATTTTACAATGAAGGCCTTATTGTTGTCATGCCACCAGAACAAAAAGCAAAAAGATCAGTTTTTGTTCGTCAAGTCGATCAAGAGATCGGGAGGAAGACCTGAAAGAAGAACTGGAACGCCAAAATAGGTGGATGAAGATTGAAGAAGTCATTAAGGTAAAGGACTATACTCATGTTTGAAGAAGTGTCAATGGCTGAGAAAGTTTTACAACAGGGCTTTCTAATATTCAACATGTCAGTCACACCACATCAAATAAAGAAGGAGACATTCATCAGTCTGCAAACTTGCTTCTCCTGCTACAAATATGAAGAACACACAACGAGAGACTGTCCGGAAAAAGAAAAAAAGTACTGCTCAGATTGTGCAGGCGACGACCATACCTACACTGAATGTAAGAATACACATGCTGGCTGTCTCAACTGTAAGAGAAACGGGAATGTATACATAGGACATAGGACGTTAGCATGGCATGCCTAATAAAAAACACATGATAAAGTACAAGAAACAAGGAAAAAAGGAACAAGACAAGAAGGATATGACATACGCCGAAATAGCAAAGAGAGCGGGTCCAAGAGGTGCTCATAGACCAGAATCCACAGTATTAAACCTATGAGCCAATACATGATAAGGTAATGATTAGTATGATCCATGCACATTTGGGTACAATATCATTGCACCCGGATCATACAATGAAGAATTAAGGAAAATGTTTAAATTGAATAACCTACCAGAGATGATATTTCCAGAGAATCCACAATCCGAAAAACTATTTCAGACAACATATGCAAGCGAACTGAGAGAAAGACTACATCAAGACGAACAAAGGTTTGAGCAACAGCTGATACACAAGGAACACAAGCGACTGATAGAGATCCCAGACAAATGACTAGAAGTGACAAAGAGAAGATAGAAATAACAAAAGGACAGACAAAGGAGTAGGAGGAGAGAAGATAAGATGGAAACTGATCACAATATACAACCTGAATCTGCTGAAGAAATTGGATTAAAAGTTATCACTACAACAAAAAATGGAATCCCAACATCGAGACCAACAGGAGGGACAATAGTAAAAAACTGTGAAGGAGGGATATACAAGTGGACATATCAAGAAAAATCCCTAAGTGAAGATTATGTCTGGTCACTAATTACTACGGACAAACTAAAGATTACGGCCAAAGACTTTAAAATAGTAGACCCGTCAGAGTATAGAAGAGTCAGAAGCGGGAAACAGGATGATAGGTCTCCACTCCAACTGACTGCCACAATCCAAGTATAAGAAATAATGGACAATAGACAAACAGTAAGAACTTTAAGAATAATACAACACAACGTAAGAAACTGGAAGACCGAGAGAATTAACCTAAGTAATATATATCAAGAAATTGACCCTGACATTATACTAATAAACAGTCACGGTGAGACAGAAAACAACAACATAAAACTCTTTAACTATTATGTAAACCAAAGAAATAAATCGGGCGAGAAAAATGACGGAGAAGCGATAGCGGTTAAAAGAAACTTAAAATTTAAACTAATTGATGACTTCCAGGATGAATTTCTAGCAATAAAAATAAATACAACTCAAGGAGACGTAATTATTGCTACTACTTACCTATAGAAGACCTATTAAAATTGGCTAACAATAGTCATCCGATGTACATCTTAGGAGACTTTAACGCCAGACATAGGATTTTTGACAATACAAATAATAACGTCGTGGGAAACGCCCTTAATCAATTAATAAATTTAGGAAAAATCAATCATCTGGGTCCTAACTTTCCAACCTGGAGAAATCACAATACACAATCGACACCAGACAAAATTTTTACCAACAACAAAGCCTTTTTCAATTACCATATAATACAGGCAGTGACCATCTGCCAATTATACTAACACTGTCAACAAGCCCCATACAGATACCAATAAAAAAGAGACTGAAAATGAGTAAAACAGACTGGGACAGCTTCAAAGACGACTTAAGTAATCACCACTCGATTAACCTACAAAGGAAAACAACAGAAGATATAGACTCAGAAATGGACAGACTGCACTCAGCAATAAAAACATC